ATGTTGGAAGTAAATATAATACATATATATATATATATATATATATATAAATATAGATGTATGTACAAATGGGAATATATGGATTTATGTACATTAATTTCTAAAAGTAGGTACCTACTATATGAATTTGTATTTAAAATCCCAACTCAGGTAAAAATTCAATTAAATATAACAGTATAAGAATTGACTTAGTTAAATAACTTTGAAAAAACTGATAAAAGGCATACATTTCATGTACATATGTATATGGAGTTGTACATTTTTATCATATCATTTGGTATTACCATTAATGCAAACAATTTATAAGAACATAAGTACGGTTAATATATAAAAATTTTTTTGTTAAAACAACGGTAACAAGAATGCATTTACTAACTGATATACATTTTGTATATATATTTATCATATAACATTATCCCATTATGATAATTATCCGGTTGCTTACCTGAACTTTTAATTTTATAATAATATTTTTATATTCTTACTTCTACATCCACACATGCTTATACATTCCTTTTCAATCGGCGCTGTTGATTTATAAAGTTTAAAAAATTTTTAAATGCATGAAAATAATAATTAGAGTAACCGCACATATAAATAGCTTGCTCTAGCTGATATATGTATTATAGAGAAATCAAAATTCTATACGAGTTTATAGAGCAACTTAAAAGTTACCTTTGTATACACACTTATCACATATTTATACATATTCACTTTTCATTATTTATTTTTAACATTACTGTAAATATTTTATTTGAATGCGGCATGGGTTTGGTTTTTGATTTAGTTTCTATGGGGATTTTAAATTCTTTATATAGGTACACTTACATTTTTATTGTTGTTTACTTGCTTACACATTTGATTTTAGGTTCGCAGGTAATAACTAGTATAATATAAGGCTGAAAAAAATAAGAGTATCAAAAAATTATAACAACAATTTATGTAAAATATCAAATATCAGTATGGAAATATCTTCATTGTATTGTTGTTGTTGCCTCTAGAAATCCATAATGCACATATACATATAGACATATAGAACGTACACGTTGATGAGAACATGAATTAGAATTTACTAGAATCTGATATACGAAGAGTTGTGATTAGTCTTTTTTACCTACAAGAGCTGTCCTGTACCTGCTTTTGGAAGGAAGAATCGGGCAGATTTAAAAAATCTTGTTTGTATATAAGAACATGGAAATATATATACATTATAGTTTCACTGAAGATTATTTCATTTAAATATAGGCCTAAATATAATGGCTCAAGGGTAGCTTATATTTAATCTGACCGATGTAGTTCGTATACAACTTAAACCTCTTAGCCTTCATGACATTCAACCTTAAGTTTATTATAGTTGGCTTTTAACGAAAACTTAAACAGTCATAATTCCTTAAGGCGAGATTGTTAAATAATGTTAAGTACATTAATATTATTAGTTTCGAAGATAATCACATCTGACACACAAAACAGAATTTGTACTTCTATTTCGTATTTTCGCCAGCCGAACTAATTAAGGTGAGTGGAATTTTCGATAAGAAGCAGATCCTTCTTGGCTGCTGTTGCAAAAGTTTTCCACATTCGAGGTATCTTAAAAGTCTTGGCCGAAAATACACTTATCTTTCTTTGGAAGGATTTCTTACTTTTGAAATAGTTTGCCTTAAATGAAAAATAAAATTTATAATGGAGTATACCAATTATAATCACATACATAATTGTATATGAGTTTCTAATATGAAATCATGTGAATATTGTTAAGAATATTATAATATAGACTACGAGTATACGGTATTTTTTTCTAAAAATCTAAAATTAGCCTATATGAAAGTACGTGTTTGTACATATGTATGTACGTACATAATTTATTTATAAATTAACTAGCTTTATCCTACAAGCTTAACTTTATCTTCATTGTGATCTGTACTTTTTTTTTCTCTCTCTCCTTTTCTTTTTATAGAATAAAATATTTTTTTTACTCTTATTTTTATCAAATGCATTTTACATACATATATACAAATAATTTACTTAAATTACAACACACATTGATGTAGAAATATTTTGGGTTTGGTATGCAATGTATAATATTTCAGTTCAAGCTACCCACTCATATGAATATGTACAATGTACAATGTACGTAATATTGTGCACATGAAAATATTGAATAAAAGCTAAAATGCAAGCTGATTAAAGTATAAAATAAGAACCAGTACTGCAGTACTGCACTCTTTTAACATTTTATTTTTACTCTCCAGCTCTACACACAGATTTTTTTTTCTTTTTCGTATAATTTAATCGTGAGCAAATGTGTGAAAGGAATGAATGAAAACTTGACTTGTCTCTGATTTTAATTCTGATTTTATTATTATTACTTTTTTTTTGTAAAGTTTAGTCGTGTCTTATGGCATATACTAGAATAGATTTAAATTGATTGGTATGGTATGGCATGGCAGGCATATTAAATGGTTGGTATATGGTTATTAAAAATGCATTTAGAAAAGAATGAGGTAACGATAACGGAACTTCAATTACTAACATTCTTTAGATGTTATTTTTATTGTCTTCGTTACTATTATTCTTGTTATTATTCTTATATTTTTTTTATTTTTAAATAATTTATTTATTGTCTTGTTTTATATTTATTTAATAAAAAAAAAATGAAAAACAAGAAAACATGATTATGAGAAAAGCTCTGAAGGTGGTTTAGTTTTGTACTAAAGCGGATTTATATATACACTTTATTGAAAATTATGTTCCGTACTTTATTGTTATTGTTATAATGTACTAATAAAAATTAAGATTTTTACATTCCGTCATTTAAAATGATATTAAGTGAGTTTTAAATTCATTTAATTTTGATGTTCATTAAACATTATTATTTGTGCATAATCATATATACATAAAATAATTAATTACATAATATTTATTTCCTTGGTTTATGAGAGGTTTATGAATAGTACATACTAGTAAAGTAGCTTCCGGGACATTAATTGTCACATGAGTTCACGAATATAGTATTATAGTAATATTAAAGTGTAAATAGCACTAAATATGAAATACGTTTATAATTTATGATATATTGCGTATCGTGCGTGATGTTACAAACTGACGTATACTCGTATATGAATATGAAATGTTTTTTGCAGTTCTATTTAGATTTTATAATAAAATAAAAGGGTAACAAAAAATTTTTTAATAATTTTTATGAAAAGTTTTAAAATTTATATTATGGTAAAAAAAATAAACATTTTTTGGCGTTTTTAGAACTGCAACCTACGTCTCAGTTTTTAACGCCTTTATTGCTGCCTGACTGTCTGTTTGAAAATGCTGATACACCTGAATGATATCACATTGCCCGATAGCCATTTCAAAATCTTGTTTATTACGATCCCACTAAGTTTGCCTCGATTATACCAAATTGGTAGAATCCTGCTTGATTGTGTGACAGAATCCTCTGTGACGTGCCCCGAAGGCCCACTGCAATTCAGGCCAATTGTTTACAATTAACAAAAATTTTCTTTCATTTCTTAGAAAATAATTTGAATATGGAACCACAGAACTTCCTTGCAGAGCACGATACACATAATATTGCATTTTTAAAATTGGTCTCATGCATATTCATTTTGCACATTAATTTTTACAAATCTGAAGGTTTTATGTTAAAAGGCACAAAATATGGTTTTCTTTAATTAGTTAATTTGACATGAACAAACAAATTTTAAAAAGAAATTTAGAATTTCAGTAACCTTTAACATTAGAATTTTAATACTTTAAAAGATTAGTAAGAAACTCACTTACCTTCTTCTAATTTCTATTAATTTTGTATTAAATTATTTTTTTACAGATAAAATTACAGATTATCAAAAATCTTTAATGAAGAACATTTTTCACTTTCTTTTTCAATTATTTACACTTAAATTACAGTGATATTAGAGATGTTTTAATTATTTTATTGTCTTAATAATTACTTAATAATATTTTTCAAATTTGTCATGTGAATTGAAAAAGTGTGGCATTAATATCGAAAGGTAGTAGATTTGTTATTAATTAAATAATTGTATAATAAGAGTCTTTAATTTTTCAATTAATTAAAATATACGAAATAACTAATAAAATAAATAAAATCTAATATTAATGTTAGAATTAAAGCTATTTTCTTGCATTTTTCTTACTAAGGTATGAAATTTTCTTACTGTTTCCTTAAATTCACAAGAGTTCAGGAGACTGTTTCAACGGAAATGAACTAAACTAAATTTTTTAATGTACTTACATTCGTTTATTTTAAATTTTGACATTTCTGTTTGTATGCAGAATTATTTGAGTAGATTCAACGCAACCAGTGAATTAAAATTGAAAAATTTAAGTGAGAACTCTGAAATATTCAATTACTTTCACCTTTATTTTTAAATCAAATATAGTCCAAGATTTTTTTATTTTTTTTTTTTAATAAATTATGCAATTTTAAATGAAACTTGTATAGGCTCAGCGAAAATTATTAATTCGCTATAATAGATATTTTTTATTTAACTGTTAATTAACTTTGATTTAGCTTAAATTTTTTTTTCTTAAAATAATTTTGTTATTTCGCGTTTATTACATAGCATAGATAGTCCCTCTAGTAGTGGTGTGCTCTATGTACTTGCATTATGTTATGACATCACGTTCATTTGGGTTCGCGTCCTTGATGTAAACAAAAAAAAAGATATAAGCAATAAAACAGAAACATAAAATTTGTTTTCAACTGTCTTATAAACTGGCATAATTGACTTTGATTTTGAATAATTTTTAATAAATTAATATTTTTCAACATTTAACTATCAAAATAAAACCATAAATATAGTATTTATGAATTATTTTGACTCTTGAAGAACAAAAAAAAAATAATGTCAACATTGTAAAAAATTTGTATACAATTTTATGGCTTTTGAATTTTGTTAAGTTTATCTTTGAAGCAAAGCAAATAAGTTGGTGTGCAACATAAATGTGTCACACTTTTTGAATAGATTAAATTTATATACACTTCAATTGTATGTACATACGCCTGTATACATTATGTAAAAAATAATATATAAAATTATTTTTAATACCTTTTTTTCTTTTGAATTTTATTAATATTTTGTTTCTCTTTTTTTTTCTTCAATAATTTTAATCAATAATAATTATTATTTTTTATATCAAATTTTGTTAAATTATTATTCGCATATGTGAAAGCTTTATGTGAATTTGCATAAATTGCGATATCAATTAGATTTGTGCTAGAAAAGAAATCAAGAGTAACCACATTTGCTGTTAAACTCCAAGGTCCACCAATGAAATTTAATATGTTTGAATTTAGTTCACTTGCACGATTACGAGCTGATTTGATAGTTTTTTGTGAATTCTATAATATAAAAATATAAAGAAAAAGAAAGAGTTAGATAAAAAGAGAGAGAGAGAAATAAATAACAAAAAACGATTAGCAATAATTATTGAAATTTTATCACGTATACATAAAATTTGTTATTCATATTAAAATAATGATTAATTATCATTTTATGTTTTTAATTTTTTTTTCATAATCTATTAGAAATTACAATAATATAAAAATTTACCAAAGTTTCTTCAATTGTAGTAATCGCTTCAAATATCCAACCTTTATTTTTTGTCAATTCCAACTCATCTTTTTGTGTAAACAAGACTCTCATAAAATCTAATGCTTTTGTTAAATTTTGATTTCTGATTGAGAATTTTTTCCACGAAGGCCATATTAAATCGCATTCTAAAATGAAATTAATTTTACATAATTTAAAATTTAGTTTTTGTTTAATTTTATTTCTTATTTCATTGTGGAAATTTTGACATCAAAATTAATTTTTCAAATTTTGTATGTACATATTAAAAATTTTGTTTTAAAATAAATTAGTGCAACTTTAATTTTCTGTACAATTTTAGTTTTAATGAAAGACTATAGATAATTTGCATGGACAATTTAAATTTTAAAGTTCATATCAAATGTTGAATTATTCACAATAAGTTTATTCAACCCCAAATTGTAATCATTTATGTTTAATTACAAAACCGATTTCGATTTACCGCTTGGTTGTCGAATTTGATTTTCACAATTCAAAAAAAATTGTTTATTTTAATGACATCTCTAAAATGTTACAAACATTGTCATTCATAATGTTCATTTACTTAATACATACTATTTATATGAGTTTTTTATATATATTCTTATTATTAAATTAAATGTATTATTTTACATTAATATAAATCTATAAAATAAATCAATTTACCTTCACGAATCATTGCATTTAACGATTTTAAACGACCTTTATTGACTTATACATATTATGTGATATTGAATTCTTTAATTAAAATATGATTTATTGAAAATTTATTATATTTATTTAAGTTGTCATATTTTATAAAATAAATTTTATTATAATAATATGTAAAATATAGAAATTTAAAAAAAAGCAAATCCATTTCTAAATATGCATACATTTTCGTCAACAGAGGGCACAATGTAAATAATATTGTGAATGACGTTTACTTACGTATTAAAATATTTGTAAAATGAAACGTAGTTGTATAAAATACTTTAAGAATTTTATTGTTATTTTAAATATTTTGTAATAAATAATAATATGATTAAGTTATTCAAAATATTAAATAATTTAAATTTACATTGATATTACAGATATTTGGAATTGAAAGAAATTTTATGGAAAATACTCGTATATGTATGTAAGTTGTTGTTATTGAATAATGTACATATGTACGTTTTAATTTACTGAAATTATAATATTCAAAATTTTAGGTACAGGCAAGGACTTATTTATGCATAAACATATTGAAAACAATTCCGTAACATTATATATATATACATTTCAAATTCAAATTATACAAAAAATCATCTTAATAAAATTTTATCAATGATGGAATCTTGCATGTTAATGCGATATCCCTTTCAAAATCTTTCGGATAATTATAATATTTAATTAAAGAATGTTAAATTTATTTAACATATAACATATAATATAATATATAATTTATGTATATTTATATAATATTTTATATAGTTTATTAAAATTTCAAATTTATTATTATGCAATTTCCGCATTTATAATTATACCACAAAATATTCATTGTACATATATATACATACATATATAATATTGTTGCATGCAAGGTAAAATTGGTTTTATATTAAAATAATTGTTCTTTTGTTAAAATTACTATATTACAAAATAATTAATTATAATTTATACTGAATATACATACATATAGAATCTTTAATATTATATAATATATTTCTCCATGCATAAGAATTAGTATATATATACATACATACTTAAATGTCTACAAAACAATGACTTTCTTTTAATTGTTTGAATATTGTACCCTTTTATTATACTTATGTATATTATATTATGTATATTATCTTTAATATAAATTATTTATTAGCTCCATATGTATGCACATTTGTACTAGGTAAAATATACCTTATGTAACGTATTATAATTTTCTTGTAATCTATAATGAAAAATCTCAATTTTTTATATATTTATATAGATTATCCTTACGCACGTATAATTTTAAAAATATTATATTTTGTATACATTTATGAATATATATGTATATATATATAAAATTTTATAATAGTATGTAATAAACGCATGTGACATATGGAAGTGACTTCTTTGTATAATGAATATATCGCTGAAATAATTTAAGGTTGCGTAAACTAACATATAGCGTCTATGAACTATAATCAGGACATGAAATATTCAATATATTTAAAATTGTATAGTAGTTTTCTATTATGTAATTTAAGAAAAAGAAAATGTCCTTTTCCTTCATTTATAATTTTAAAGAATAAGAAAATATGTTTAATTCTTTAAAAGCACGCATTTTAACCCCTTTTTCTTATGATATTTTGTAGATTGCGTTTAGTTTTTGATATGTCTTTTTTTTTATAAATAAAATATAATTTTATTCAGAAAACGCGTATAAAAGGGTTCTTTATATTATAGAAGAGGAGCCATAAATTATATGAAACATGCAAAATTTTTGTATTATATTTAAATATTGATTGCACATTTTCTATTTCATTTAAAAAAAATTTATAATAATTTTGCAATTTTACTCTGAATAAATACATAGTTTCTAGTTTCTAGCCTCTATTTATCTTTATACTTTTTAATGGAAAACAAAATAATCATTTTTTTTTATAAATAAAATAAATAATACTTCAATTGTTTTCTTTTATATTATACTTTCATTTTATAATAATTGTAGCCTTCTATAAATGCAATTTAACTACAAGTAAGAGCTATTAAAATAACAAAAAAAAACGAAAACCTATTAAGAATATTGTAAATAGCTTATATTTTCAATATCAATGATTGTATGTTTGTTTTAAAAAAAGAAATAAATGTATAACAAATAATAATTTAAATTGAATAATAGAAAAAAAAAATTTAAATTGAATGGAAATATTTCATGTCTATCTGTCATTTAGGAAATCTTTGAAATATTGAAGTTTTAGAAATGTTGTTGTTTTTAAAATTATTTACTTTAAAAATTAAATAGTTTACAAAAGCAAAAAAAAAAACACACATAATTGTTGTATATAATGGGGAAAGTAAGATAACAATAATTTGTTCACATACATGCATATACATAAAATATTTATGCTAAATTTTAATTGAAATAATTCATGTATGCATTCATAAATGTAATATATTGGATTGCGAATTGGAAGGTGAGCTCTTATATAGTATAATTTATAATTTTAATGCTTATTCATATAAAGAACTATAGAAAGTATTGAGATTATTATCAAATAATCTTAAAATTTTTTGAAATAGAACTTATATCTAAAACATCGGATTTGATTAGTTCTTCTTTAATTCATTCTTGATTAACTTATTCTTAAATTGAATTACATTGCAATTACAATTAATTTTAAATGAGCAATTTTATTATACATATTTACAAGAAAATATAAATAACAAAAGAATTTCATTAATTTCATAAAATATATTTTTAAATTGACGTAGGTGTTATTTTTCTCCAATATTACAATGGTGGATTAATTGAATTTAATATAAAATTTGGAAAACCCATTTAATAATCGCAATTCTATTTAATTAATTACTTTTTATATTATCATTTAACAATAATTTTATTTTGCAGAAATTCTTGAAAGCCAAATTGCATTTTTTCAATTTTGCAATTTCAAAAAAAATCCAAGCTTTTGAATTAATTTCACGACATTTTATATTCTAAGAAATTCAGGCTTAAAAACAATACATTTGAAAAAAAGTAAAGAATTGTTGTAATTATTGCCCTTGTAATAGATAATCAACTGTAAATCAAAGGTTGCTGTACTATTAATAATATTGCTATAATAACTGTGAATTCGATAAGGGTTGTAAATTTTAATGGGTGTTTATTTGTATAGTTAATATCCAAGTTATCTAAAATAATTAGTTAATTATCGTATTATAAATATCGGCAATTGTTATTTCAAGTATTTGTGTTGTAATTCAAGAATTAATTAATGTCACTCAAACACTTACATTTAAATAATATTTTTTCGTAAACAATTCATATAACTATGATATAACTAAAACTATTTTCTATTAATAAAAAATTGTAACAAAATAATACAATATATGTATATTTAGAATATCTACATGAATTTTTCTGTTATTAAATGATTCAAACAATTGATACTTAATAAATGATAAAAAAATAAATTTTATAATTTCAGAAATCAATAAAATTGACGACAAGATGTCACACGACTATATTTTAGAGAATTTTTCAGTTAATTGAATTTTCGGAAGAAATTTTTTCTAGTAATGTGAAGAAAGAGTTGTTAAACAGAGATATCGCTGAATTGAAAATGATTGGAAAAAAGGATAGATGATATGTTAAAGTCATCTATAAAAAAATTACGTTGGATTTTATTATTTTCTATATAATGCCGGGGACTTCAGAATACCGTTATATAGAAGGGAGAGAACGGAGTCCGGTATTCAACGGTGCGAAATTATTCAATGAATTACCAACTAATATTGAAAATGAAAACAAAAACAAACGCATTGCAAATCTATGCGCATTTGAGTATTTGTGCGATTTAGAGCGTTTCAGCAAGAAACAGACATGCACAAATAGCTGAATTCGCTTAGAATTCGATTCTGACCAAGAACATATTTTATACTTAACGGGCATTTCCAATCTCCTTTTTTCGGTGTTACATACTTCTAAAATTTAATAGAGGTAAGCAAATCAGTGTTACATAAAAATTTTCTATTATTTGGTATTACATAATTTACATAATATTTTTTTTAATTAGAATAACATTAAAAATTTAGTTTTGAGAACCTCAGTCCATATTTTATAATTTAATTTGTTAAGGTAATCTTATCTAAACAACTGACATTTTCAATTCTCAAATTGCTAGTATAGAAATTTTGTAAAAAAACAATAATGTATTAGTTCTTCAGTACATTCTTAAGAGTTACAATGCCTAAATATCTTACACAATATAAATCACTTCAACTAACTTATGAAATCTAATCAAAAAAAAATTTTAATTTTTTTTTCTTTTGTCTTCATATGTTTTTAATTTGCTATTTCTTAAAGTGATTTCATTATATCTATACATACATACATGTTTTGTTCTATTCATTCTATCTAAAACAGTTCATGTTATCAATAAGGATTTCGATAATAAATAATTAATGGCCAAACATATCATTTTGTTATAATGAGAAATACGAGGGCAAATCCAGCGAAATTATGCAACTTTGTTGTCTATCCTAAAAGTATGCAATTTTTTGTATAAAAAATGAAAAGTCTGTTAGCAAGATTTTTTATTACACTTACACAATAGCTATCAAGTTTCTTTTAATTTCATATTTTATAATAATTAAGGAAGTATTTAAATACCGAACTTATTATAATGAGAGGCAATTACTGAAGAGAATAATAGTAAATATCCGACGCGGGCCTATTAAAAGATGTTTTAATTTGTTAATTGATGAATTAATCAAGAATGTTATATGAAATGGAAGTGATTTGAGAAATGCCTTTAATAAGGAATGTTATAAAAGATATTTATATTTTCAGGGTGGAACTTTAAGGATTCCGTCCAATTGTCCAGAGTTTCAGAAACAGCAGCTTTCGTAGTCCCAACCGTAATTGCAATTACCTTTTTCAAAAATGTTTAATAGCATTTGTACTTGTTTACGAAAATCGTATTAGCAATGATTGAAAATCAAGTACATTGCATAACGTTTCACTTGTAGGCGCTTTGTCAGAGCCTTAAATTTTATTTTATATCATACAATTAGAACTTATATAACTTTGCGCAACATATATAAAATAATAAAATTTTTTTTTTTAATATTTTCGTAAAATCTGACAACTTTTTTACCGACCGCATTGCATACAATAAGGAAGGTTATGTTATGGAACCGAATTTCGGATGTCGAGTGTTTGGTAGCAAATTTTTATATGTAAGTTTATTTCGTGATAAATCAGGATTCGGGAATTGGTTTTTTTCGGGGCCGACTTAACATTTTTGTGCATATAAAGAGAAATAATCAATCAATTTTCTTAAAATTTAATATTTAAATTCGGGGTATTAAAACAATAAACCTATAAATTTTTTTGGAAAGATCAAGGCTCGGAAACCGAACTAGGGGCCGATTTTTGTCTTCTTTACCATATCTGCCATATCTTTATAACTATAATTGATGGATTTTTTTTGCAATTTTATATTTGAGTTCTGGTTATTAACGAAACTAACTGGTAAACCTTTCAATTAATTCGGGTAGCACAAAGCGAAATCCTACTAAAAACCAAATTGACATTTTTCGATGAATGTTAACTAAAAGCTTACCAGTATCTTTAAAATTGTAATCACTAAACTAGACAATACACATTGCGGCCGGTTATGTGCTGACCATATCGAATTCTTTTATTAAAATTTTAAAGCTTGAGCCATAAAATTGAGCTTATGATACTTTAAATTTATAATATACCTGTCCGATACAATAAATTGTGTTATAAAATCTAAAATAAACTTTAAATCTAATTTGAAAATAAATTTTTTTTTTCTTGATTAATTTAAGTGCACTTAAAAAGCAATATAAATGTTTTTTATCATATTATATTATGCGAATGTATGTATGTATATGTTTATGATCACATCTAAACACATAATTGTATTAAAATACAAATATAAGCATTAATGCGCAATTTGAACTGATAACATTAATTTCATATAGTCTGGAGTAAACTAGTTAGTAAACGCGGGTGAGGATGTTACCTTAAATGTATTGATAACAGAATTTGTTATCTTTTATAGTATTAATGTTACACACCCACCCACAATTATTTTTTTTATTAAAAAGATATCCTCTGGGCAAATATCGTTTAAATTTATAAAAAAATATATGAATGACGTTCAATCATCACACCGGTTTTGGTAGCATAATCGATTTACGTAACTTGTACGTCTAATATCTATAACCGTATCGACACGTGTTTTGGCTAAGACCACAAAAAAAAAAATTTTGAAAAATTTAATTTTAATTAAAAAATTAAAAAAATTAATTTGGATTGGACACATAAGATTATTATTATCATATCGGTATTATTTCTATTTTTGAAAAATTAGTCGCAATTAGGAGGCAATTATTTTCCATTGGTCTCTTAAATATTTTGAGTACTTAATAATGCATCAATCTGATATAGAACCATGGTTGATCAAGTTGTACTATAATATTTATAAAGGCAACCGTCGGGCACCTGCTTTGTTTTATGGAAGATGTCGGATTGGTTTTAAGGAGCGTAATGTGTTGCAGAGTTTTGCCTATGTGCCTTGGTAGTCTTTTGCTGGGCGTTTGCGTAAGGCAACGTCCCCTCTCGTACCACTACTACTACTACTACTACTGTACTATTAGCACTAAAGTTATGCTTATTTCTTGAAGAATAAAAAGTAAAAATTCTGAAAATTTCCTACTCCTGAGAATAGAATTTTACAGATCCTTTCCTATTTATTAAAATTTTTAACAATGCGTTCACATTGTGATTATTAATTTATTTTTTTTATAATAATTTCTTTAATTTCTTATATTAGGATTAAAATTCCACGTGATGATCTAAAAACAAATTTTTTTTCTTGAGTACAAAAGTATTTTGGGACAATTGAATTGCGTTTAAAAAACTAAAAATGGAATTTTAATGCTCTCTCGCATTTTTAAATTAAACTATTTTGAATAATTTATTTTGATATTCTTAATTTGTATGTATGTTTTTGTATATGATTATTTATTGTTGTTTACCGGCGTCTCTGTTTCTTTTTTGGAAATCTAATTTTAGGACAACGCTTATAAATACTTCAAATTGAATAAGCATCCACTTTACTTTTATGTGTACATATATTATATAAGTTTTATACATAATCAAAATATTATTATAATCAGCTACATGTGGCTGTAGTTTAAATTCTATTATTATTAAATTGTGAATTTAATATTATTGTTTACTTTTTAGTTTATAAAGTTTGATATATGTATAATTTTGTATAAATATCTACACTAAATATCTATATTATGTACTATTTTAGATAACAGTTCGGACATTTTCACATGTGGTATAATAATTATTTGGTAACGTTCCGAATATTAATTTGAAGCCAAACAGAATCTATAACAATGAATAACTGACGATAGTTTATTCTCGTTTAGAAAATTATATTGAGGTACACTGCAGGTCAATCAATGAAACACTGTCAAAATACGATGTGTAAACGAATGGAAGGAATATAAATGTCGTTAAAGTACGTAAAATTTAATGTTTTTCCAGCAAGAAGCGAGATTCAAATATTTCCATATGATATGAAAATTTCATTCGGGCAAGTACAGAATCGTTAAATTCAAGCACTGGTCGTGCTTTCTCTTTACATAGAGATGTAGTTTATATAGCAACTCTAGATAATTTAATATAATAGTAAGAAATATTTGTTCTGGCCAATTAATATCTTAAATTCTAATAATTGCACCGAAACTTGTACACTATGTTAAAAATTATTTGTTATTGTACTTCAAAAATATCCTATTGTTGAATTTATATTCAATTATAACAGTGCTCTTATCTTACGCGAAATAAATCACCTAAATTTTTAATGAACAATAATAAAATTCTAGGAAAAATGATTAGATAATATGATTTTTAGATATAGATACTCCAATGAAATAATAAATGCCGTATTGATAACAAATATCTAACATAAATTAATTTAATTTATAATTCTATATACATTGATATACACCTTATATATATATATAGGGAATACGTGCACAATTGTTAGTACTTTATCCTATATATGAAAGTATATATACACTTACCGCGTTCACCTGACGCCAATTTCTCTAATCTATAAGTAATTATAATATTTTTGTTTTCCTTTCTCATATCATTCATAGTTAAATCATATGAATTTATTGCATCAATACTATCGGAACGCCGAAATGCAACTTCTTTTAATTCTCTTAATAAATATTTTAAAAGCATTGAATGTCGTTCAGGTTGCTTATGAAAACCTTAAAATACCCATATTTGGAAAAAAAAAAATTTTTAAATTTTGAAAATTCGGAAAATTATTTTTCTTACCAATTGGAAATGATGTAAAATCTACGATAACAATTTCACCTGAAACTTTAACAAAATGTTTAACATCATCTAAAACTGGTTGAAGTGGTGTTATCATCATATTTTCATTAACAATCCAAAAATCATTTGTTTCTTCTCGATATCTATAAAATGTTTCAATGAAAAAAATTATTAATTTTGGATTTTAAGAAAATCCTTTAAATTTTCATTTCTATTTTTCGATTTTTATAGGTTATTATAAATAGTATGCGCCATTAAATATGCAATATAGCTATTTGTAAAATAAAGTTTTAGTGACAAAAGAGCTCCTCTTACTTAAACTTACATAATGTCGCATTTAATAGCATCACAATAGTGTAATTGCAGTGGCAGAATTATTACAATTGAAGAATGTGCTAAACGACAATTTACAATTTTTACAAAAAATGAAAATAAATTTTTGCTTATATTCTAAATTTTCTTGTAGATTTGAAAGAACAATAAAAATTTCAAGTATGTGAAGTGTTACTGCAAGTCGCTGAAATGTTGATGCAAGTTAGTTATGAATGAACCTGCTCATGATTGAAAATCAGCATGCTAACGCAGAATATTGCCCCCAGAAGCAGATCTAATATGAAACTCAAAACCCGAATATTTATAAAAATGATATTTTGTGAAAAGTTTAATTTTTCAACTTTATCCACATAAGGTTTCTGTTCAACTTGGTAATATTTTAAAGAGTTATTCACAATCTATTAATTTTTAGTTTATGTTGAAATATTTTATTGTTTCGAAATTCATAAGAAATCAAATTTATTGAGTTCTTTGCGGGTGGTTGTTTATTATTATTTAAAAAAAAATAGGACAATGGGGTTAAAATTTGTAAACAAACAATGTTATCTCCTTAATTTCTAAAGTATAAAATTCATAAAAGTGATAACACCGCGATAATTTATGAAAAAAAAAAATAAAATTGTTTTAGTAATAATTGAATTAAGGCAGCTATACAAGTTTCTCAATTATTGAAAGCTTTCTTTAAAAAAAGAAAAATTTTAAAATTATTAGAAAAAAAATTATAAAATTCCATTTAACTTCAACTTCATGCAATTCACTTTTAAATTTTAATCATACCCAATTTTTAAATCCAAATATCTTATTCCAAATACTAATTGTGACCAAATATCCAAATTTTGTGAGCAACCAAATGTTTGTACCAAAATTGAATGATTTTTATAATTATAATTATTATAAGCACCAGATGAATGTGTACCCGGTATAAAAAGATTTTTTAATGGTACTTTACCAATATTTTGATCAGATAAACGCATCCAATTTGGTTGTATTTTTAAACATTCAACACGTATTAAATCATCATTATAGGCAAAACTAGCAACATAAAATGGTAAACATTTACCTTTTGCATAACTAACTAATTGTAATTGATCATCATCACGTTCCCAACCACCAGGAAAATATAATTTTCCTAAATTAACTTTTGTTACATATTTACCATATAACGTTGTTATATTACGTATACAATCTTTAGCTGGTTTAGTTGATATTGCTGGATCTTCTTGAAATATACCAATCCATTCTGGTTTATCAATACAATTTGGTCCCCAATTTATTTCAATACGTGATTCTTCACTTAATATTGAATCCAATGATATTGTTAAATAAATTGGACAGCCTAGAATAAATTGTAATTATAGAAATATTGTCATTCTTTTAATTTTAAAATTTTCTTTTCATATTTAAAAAATTTTTAATTTTTGATAATTTTATTGTAATTACTTTGAATATTTGTAATTAAAAGAGCATTTACAAATAGAATATGCAAAATATTCTTTGAATTAGATTTCATTATTATTTTGTATTCTGCTCTTTTATTCTTAAATTTCCTCACTGGCTTAGTCACTAAATTTTTTATTCTCTTTATATTATTTTAATATTTAGACTGATGATCTTTATATAGATCTGTAACTGAAGAATTCAAAACATTTACTAACAAATAAATATTTTCATCTTATGGTTTATGTAATTCCATACAAATCTAAAGATGTGTTAATATTTCGGTAGCTGAAAATTCTCGCAAAAATTATTATTGTATTAAAAAAAAAGACAGGGTTCAGAAATATAATGATAGGTTCAAATCAAGAGTCACATTTTGGGGTTTATTAGGAAAATATGAACTGAAGAATATTATAAATGGTCGAAATCAATTTCATAAAGAATCCTTACAATTTTAAATTTTTAAATTAAACATGTACAAATTTTTGATGGGCTACATACCGCATTTAAAATCATTAAAATTTCTTGGTACAATGAACTTTGTGATATGAAAATGTCTAACAAAAAAAAAAACAATCATCAAAACTATTTATCTATTTTCCTATTTAATTATTTTTGTATTCTTAGGGCGCTCACCATCTCCTTTTCATTGAGTATTGCATTCTTGTGCCTGTTGAGCAATTGTTTTCGGTTGACGCCTCAAATCCAAGCCCATCTTCTTTTTCTTTATATGGACAATCTTTTTTTTCATAGCTGATAGCAACTCTGCATATACGTTTGGGGCCAGTACATTTTGTAGATGGCCCATGTTTACCTGTTTACAAAATCCTGTAGTTTCTTTTTTGTCTTTCTGTACAAACATTTTACACAGGTGTCGAATATTATAAACTTCGTCTTCATTGATATATGAGAAGACCTCCAGATCAGCCATATAGTTTAGAAAACGCCATTTTAATAAGTTTCAACTCATGTTTTTTAAATTTTCTTTGGCGCCTAATTCTTTGCTTATTATGATGCTGACAAGATAATTGAAACTTGAAGAAATGAAAATGGAGGAGATTTACCAATTTTGTTTTTGATTAATTTTTAATTTTACTCTCTAAGTTAAATTTTAATTTTAAGTTAAGGAAGTCGTGTTCCGAATGTCATTTATTTGTTCCATAAGATGGAATTCACAAATAACAGAGAGGTCTAGAATAAAAAAAGGTTCTGTAACTGAAAGCAAATACGAGTATTAATTTAAAAATTTTGTTATGTTTTGGTTTACGTATACTTGAATTAATTTCGAGTAACCTTACTCTACATTCAACCGTTCAATTCAACTCAAACTATATTCAATCGTATTTTTTGCTCCTTTAAGTGGGAATAACTCTTAACCTTATGTTAGACGCACCCTGTATTCTACTTTATATCTATGCAGATGATCTTAAAAATTTAATCCAGATTCTTTGTTTTTTTTTTGTTGTGGTTTTCTTTTTATTATCTTCGCAATTATTCAATTAGAATAGCCATTCATCAAAAACACACATTTGGTTGAATATTATAATGAACTTTTTTTTTTAATTCAATCCTCCTCATCCCCACATATTATGTGCATTAGAATAGAACATAATGTACATAAATATTTACCCTCATATACACATTAAGAATATAATTTATGTTATAATATGATGTAGGTATACTAAATAGTACATTGCTACATTTGATTCCGGCAAGATTGTACATAAATAATATTTAGAGGTAATTCTTTCTATATACTTGAACTTGGCTTGAACCAAATTCATCATTAATATCGTCATCATCATTATCATTATTGTCTTGTTTTTTTTTTGTATTCGCCGTTAATGTGGATTAAGTAATTTTCCAACGCATTTATATACTTAAATAAAAGAAAGTTTATTTGAAACAAGAATTACATGATAATGATTTTTTTTTATATACAAATAAAGTGCATAATTTTATTATAGATGACATTTTTTGCTTTATTGTTATTGTTATTATAATTTAAATTGGATGAAACGAGAATAATTTGAACACGAGTACAACTATAAAAATTATTTTATATTATTGTTAATCAGTGAGATTTTGTAGCGCCTTAATCAAAAATAATTTTCACACCGAAAATTATCAATAAAAAAAATAATAAGGAAAAAAACATTGTTGTTGGGATACAGTAGATCAATTTTTGTTCACAATGGACAAATATTTTGTATTATGTAAGTGGAAAAATTGCAAAAAAAAATAAAGCAATAAAATCAATATGAAGGAAAATTTCTGATTAAGGTGTGGAAGCAAGAATATATTTTATGAATTATTTGCATATATATGACAGTTGACTATGTTATGCTATGTGACAGTTTTTGGTTATATGACGTTTGGCATTTATAGAGTCGTCACATATCAATTTCAGCTCCATAAGTTGTATGACAATTCATTTTAGTAGGTTATGTGTTATGTGCTACGTCGAAAAATTTAAAATATCTATTTCTTACTTAAACAATTTCTAATCTCTCTCTTCTCTCTTTGATGGCACTCTCATTTTTTAAATATTTTTGATTTCTTTGAAGAGATTTATTGCAAATACTAAATACATATACTAAATACGAACTTTATCGTTTGTTTTTATCAAGTTATTATCACTCTTGCATTTCAAAAATAACGGGAACAAGTTTAAAAAACAAAGTAATTTAAATTTTCTTAAAATATTTTTCTTTACCTTTATTTCTTTTTTTTGGGTTTGAAGCCTTGTTCTGTGAAGTATTTTATCTTAGAACTTAAAGTACCTTAAATTTTATGGTAAAAAAAATAATATTGTGAATTTGATAAATTTTATAATGTGGTTTTTGCTTTTGTTGTGTAGCACGTATATCGTTTTTATGGTTTGTGTCTGAAATATAGAAATACGGATAAATTTAGGATAAAAGTTCTAACTTGACTGTCAAAACAAATTTTGATTAAAAGTATTTTTAAATTCACAATAATTTTTTTTACCGCAGTTTACAATAGTGTATGCGAAATAGTCAATGATAACCCTTGCACAGCAAAAAACGTAATGCAATGAAAAAAAGAGTTTTTCAATGTTGTATGATGAGATTAGATTTATTCTTACTTAATTTTTTGATATTTCATGCAAAAATGCTGAAAAATATATTGTGAATTGGTATAAGAATTCACAATATTGTGAATTGAGTTATAATTAACGAAATAAATAGATTATTTCAAAATATTTCCTTACATTATGGTACCTGCGCCATTTAAATTGGTTAGGTTTTCCTATTTTACCATTGATATTTTTTTTGCTCAATAACGGCTAACATGCTATAAAAAGTTTGTTGCAGATTTCATTTATTCAGGGTTATATTGAATAATTTATCGGTTCCAAATTCAAATTTCAACATTTTTTTTTCATCCAACCACAAGTACAATCACTTATGTTTGATTATGTTTTAAGGTAAACTTGTTCAACATCTTTTTCACCTCGTTTCATAATTCCGTTTGGCAATGGAATCAGATTTTTTAACCCAATTCGCTTGATTTGATTAATGGTTAGTATTAGT